GGTAACTTTAGACCAGTCAGTCTTACCTCTATTCCTGGGAAAATGCTAGAGAAAATGATCAAAGAACACATTTGTGCAGGCCCAGCAGGGCAAACGATCCTGAGGAGAAACCAGCACGGGTTTGCCACGGGTAGATCCTGCCTGACAAACCTTGTAGCCTTCTATGACCAGGTCACACATTGCCTGGATGCGGGAGTCGAGGCTGATGTCATCTTCCTGGACTTTAGGAAGGCCTTCGACACAGTTTCACACCCTATCCTCATTGGGAAGTTAGCAGACTGTGGAGTAGACACCTACACGGTCAGGTGGGTGGCCAACTGGCTTAGGGACCGCACCCAGAGAGTGGTGGTGGATGGTTCCTTCTCGGCCTGGAGGGAGGTGGGCAGTGGGGTCCCGCAAGTTTCGGTCCTTGAACCGATATTATTCAATACCTTCATCAGCGATTTGGACGAGGGCGTGGAGAGCACCCTCTCCAAGTTCGCTGATGATGCCAAGTTATGGGGCAAAGTTAGTACACCGGAGGGCAGGGAGCAGATTCAGGCTGACCTGGACAGGTTGGATCAATGGGCAGAGAGAAATAGGATGCAATTTAATAAAGATAAATGTAAGGTACTCCACCTGGGAAGGAGGAACCCCCAGCACACCTATAGGTTGGGGAGTGTCCTTCTCAGCAGCTCAGAGGCAGAGAGGGATCTTGGAGTCATAACTGACTCCAAGATGAATATGAGCCAGCAATGTAACGAGGCCATCAACAAGGCCAATCGCACCTTGTCGTGCATTAACAGGTGCGTGACTAATAGATCAAAGGAGGTGATGCTCCCCCTCTATGCGGCACTGGTCAGGCTGCAGTTGGAGTACTGTGTCCAGTTGTGGGCACCGCACTTCAAGAGGGACTCGGGGAATCTCGAGAGGGTCCAGAGGAGGGCCACTCACATGATTAGTGGCCTTCGTGATAGACCCTATGGAGGGAGGTTGAGAGAGCTGAATCTCTTCAGCCTTCACAAGAGACGGCTGAGGGGAGATCTTGTGGCCACCTATAAACTTATTAGGGGAGGTCAACAGGGAATAGGGGAAGCTGTGTTTACTAGGGCGTCCTAGGGAGTGACTAGGAATAACGGGTGTAACTAGTTGAGAGTGGATTTAGGTTAGATATTAGGAAGAAATTTTTCACAGTAAGGGTGGCCAGGATCCAGAATGGGCTTCCAAGAGAGCTGGTGCTATCACCTAGCTTGGAGGTCTTCAAGAGGAGGCTAGATAGTCACCTGGCTGGGGTCATCTGACCTCGGTCCTCTTTCCTGCCAGGGGCAGGGGGTCGGATACGATAATCCATTGTGGTCCCTTCTGATTCTACAATCTATGAATCTATGTGATATAGGTGGTGCTGGGTACCAGGCGGCTGTGCTGCCCCACACTATTGAGGAGCTCGGCCAGGAGAGCCCTGAGTGCCCCGCCTGCCACTGCTGCTGCAGGGAGGCTGTGTGCTGGGGGTGGGGTGGGCAGGTGGGGGACCCACCCCTCCCAAGAAGCCCACCACCCACACAGTCCCCCACACCTCCGAACTACCCCCACAAAGGACCCACTCACATACCCAGCCACAAACCCCACACCCCCCAAACCCTCGCAGAAGCCCCAAATGCCCCCACAAACCTCACCCCCACAGACCCTATACCCACCTATAAACTCCACCCCAAATCCCATATCCCCACCACAGATCACACCCTGTGTGCCCAGCCACCAAACAGGATGGGATGGGACCTGCTGGCAGGAGCTGCGGCTACAGAGGCAACTGCCACATTGCAGCCCTGCCCCATGCCCACACCAGTGCTGGTCCATGCCACCCCAAACTTATATGTGAAACTAAAAATCTAGAAGAACGCACTGTATTTGAAAGCTTGTCTAACTCCATCCGAACCATGCAATCAGTCCAATAAATAATATCAGCTATAAAATCCTTGCCCCTCACATAATTCGAATATGTAAAATTCATTAGCTCGTGATAAAGAAAATACAGGAAAAAAATAGCTTCTTTATTCACCTGCAAACATCTGACCGCAGTATTCCAGTCTTCCATTTTTACACTAGAAAATGCTGAGAATATCATATTCATCTAAGATTGAAGCCCATATATTGCAAAGACAACATGTTCCTACTGATTTAAATATGTCAAAAAAGCATTTCTTACTTTGCAGCAGGGGTATCTATCAGGCCTGCCAGGCTGCCAGGGAACCACTGGACATTGGGAGTGTGGCCTGCCACAGAATCTGGGGCACTTGGGCTCTAACAATCAGGGGCAGAAGGGCAAGCAAGGACTGATACAGCTCTGGTTGCCTTCCAACCACTTTGCCCATTGCCACTACCACAGCACAGCTTCCTGGCTGCCACATCCATGGTGGAGCTACCACTGCCACCGCCACCTGCCCTGGTCAGAGCTGGAACTGCCACCACCACATGCCCCAGATTGGAGCCAAAGCTGCTTCCACTACCACATGCCCCAGTACTCCACTGGTAGCCTAGAGGGCCAAATAGAAAACATGATAGCTGTTTTGCAAATCATTATGTAAAATGGAAGTGTAATTCTAATTTTAAACTGCACATAAATATGCTATTCTGCTTTAGAAAAATATGTTTTTGACACTAGTTTTGTATCATTTGCCATTTTACTAGTTCTTCTTAACTATTACCGAAAAAATAAGAAACTTTTCCCAGACTACAATATAATAATGAAACCATACCTGCATCTCAGCACTGGTGAACCCACTTCTGAGTTCCTGTAGTCCATCCTTCCAATGCTGCTGATGCCGAAGTAGATCGATATTCATCAGAGCAATAACCTGTTAAAAATATTTTAGTATGTGCTATTATGTTAGTTACTGCTGCCAAAATAGATGAAAGAAAGAAGTTAAGTTGCACAAAACATTATTTCCATTTCATTATTAAAACTTACTTTTTCAATAAAGCTAGTGTGCCACTTCCTTAGTTTTCTGTTTTCAGTGGAAAGCCGTTCAGCAGCAGTTTGGAGTTTTTGGATATATGCTTCTAATTCTTTGGGATTATCCCAAGTTATCTGAGTCTTTTCCCCAGAACCAACTTTTGAATGCTTAAAAAAGGCAAATGAGTAAGATTTAATGACAAATATAAAAAAAGATGTAGCTCTAGATATTTTGCCATTTAAACCATTATAAAGGGCAAGATTGGAAGGAAATTGTAACAGAAACTGGATCTCCTTCCCTTTTGCTCCAGTGTTCTGGAGAGAGAATAAACTATCATAGTTTACACACCACACTATATATACCATGATACACCAGTATAACTACACTACTGGGTGTATTGGGATAATCAAGCCTCTACTCTCTGCCCATCTACCACTAGGGACAGAGGGTATTGCCCCTCAGCAAAGCCTGCCTCTACCTGAACACGGAAAGCAGAAGTAAAGTGTAAGGCACCTTATTCCCACTTTGTTTTCTTATACTTCTGCATGGGATGAATGATGAACTGGCTCACAATTATTTACTTCTCTAAATTTACATATTCTCCAAGAATTAAGTGACTGTTTAAAACTACACTGTAAACACTGTAGTTTCAGATACTCTGACTTTAGTTTTATTCAGAAGACATAGACATTTCTTACGTTTTTATCTTGTTTTTTGAATGTCTTGCTACATCTGTAACATAGCAAATGAACCATGCGTGAATTAGATTGTGAACACAGAGTTGAATAAAGGATACAACATAGAACTCACAGTCCAAAGAGGGGAAGGTAGAGTAGCTTTAAGCTGCTTCTGAGCTGTCCTGATCCTGCACTATGCTGGAGATTAAAGAGACAGTCCCCAGGGAGACTATCAGCACACCTCTCAAAGACGTTGTATGAAGCATAAATTAACCCAGAATCTCCTCAGTTCTATGCATGGAAGCCCTGTCCCAGTATGGGTCCTGGCAGATGTTACATTTATTGTGCAATTGGTGTGTTAACTGCATGATATATTGGATCAGGATCTTACAGCTGCACCTCCAGAAATGTAATATACCTCATCCAATGCACCAAATGCCCTGATGGAAGATATGTAGGAGAGACCAAACAACAACTGCGCACCAGAATGAACGCACACCGGAAATCCATCAAAGACAGAAACACTCAATTACCGGTGGGGGCACATTTCTCACAGGAGGGCCACTCTCTCTCCAATCTCTCAGTCCTGATCCTCAAGGGAAACTTACACAGCACTTCCCAAAAACGAGCCTATGAGCTCCATTTCATCAACCTCCCGGATACTAGAGATCGTGGACTAAACATAGACATTGGATTTTTGATACATTATAATCTGCCTGGCAACTGACTCCCCAGCCCAGCCCCTGGCTTCTTTACTTTTCATTCCATCCAGAAAGAGCACACACCAACTGCTGAAGCGTCCTTAGCCTGACGAAGGGTTTTTGAACCCGAAAGCTTGCTTAATAACTATTCTCCAACCATCTGGGTTGGTCTAATAAAAGATATCAAATTCACCCAAGGAACCTTGTCTGCTTGTAACATGCCACACATTCAGACAACTTATGGTGTGATGAAATGGGAAACCAGTTATTTACTGTGGGACATCTTTGTGGCTGGTTTTTATCACACTTCCGTGTGAACATATGGCATGCAACCGGCATCAGGCTGTACACAGTGGCCTCAAGGTGGCCTGATGCTCAGCTGCATACACCAGGGTGCACGCAGCTGCCTCCATGGAGCCGCTTGGTACCTGGCTTGCATGCATGCTGCTTCTGGACTGAGGCTTATACAGCTGTGAACTGGACAACTTCCAGGTTCCCAGCTGTATACACGGTGCCTAGAAATGGGGACTGGGGAGCTCCCTGACCCCAGCTATATGCAAGTTGCTTCTATGCATGCAGCTGCAGACTGGAGAGTTCTCCTGTCCCCAGCTGCATGCACCCTGGCACCTGCAGCCACCGTCGGAGGCCATCTGGTCCCTCCCTATATGGAGGCAGCCCACTGGCTGCTTCCTACATTGTTTGCACTGGGGAAATGTATATAGGGATTAGGACCTCTTTACAGCACTCTGTCCTTTTTCATATTCTAATGGCGCTGAAGAGAGGATGAGGATGTCACCCTGACTATAACCTGTGTGTGTGTGTGTGTGTGTGTGTGTGTGTGTGCGCGCGTGTGTGTGCGCGTGCATGCGTGTGTGTGCGCACGTGTGTGTGTGCGCGTGTGTGTGTGTGTGTGTGGCCAATGCATAAGCAGGCAGGTGCATTCTGCCCTAGCTGTAGCTTCCAACTGGTTTTAAGGGCAATCCCCTAGAAAGAACATTATAGTAATCCTATATGGAAATTAGAAAGAAATAACTGGTCTCTAAAGGATTCTATCAGAATGAAAGTCATAACCATCTAACTAAGTGCTCATGGAAAAGATGTTCTCAACCATCACTGGAAGGATACACTTAAAAAAGCCTCTAATAAGTAATCACAGAATGAAAACAGAGTATTACACACCCACACCAGTCGCATTGCCAAAGATTAAAACAACAAAAAGGAATCCCTTTACCTTAATTATCTGTTCAAATGCTAAAGCAGACTGTAACATCATTGGCTTCTGACTCTGAATCATTTGTTGATCAATAGAATTGTAAAAATGTGCCACCTATAACATTGAGAAATAAGAGTTACAAATAAAAAAGTATTTCTATTTATATGCTAATATATTTTCATACATATAGCACTGCCTATCCCAATCATTTCAAGATATAGGCATTATCAACATAATTAACGTCAATAAAGGCACTAACAAATGAACAAGCTATATCTACTGAAAACCATGGGCATGCATCACCAGTTCTGTGGTAGACATTTTATGTGCTCACTCATGTCCACATAGTTCCACACAGGGGAAGCTAAACTATAGAAACTTAGTCCTGTTTCATTCACAGGTAAGCTGCTCAGCTTTAGTTTTCATTAACAGTAGAATAATAGAACTGAACACATGAAGCAGTTACCACAAAACAGATGAAGCATGATATGTCACACTTCCTTTAACTCAATATATGTTTTTCACCTGCCCATATCCTGGGATATTTGACAACAGCATAGTACTTAAAACATACATATCAAAATATACGATCCTGTTTCCATACTGGTGTACACTACAGAGTCTCAACTGGCATAGCTAGGCCAGCATAGCTATATCAAAGGCCCTCCCCCCTATTCTGTATATACATTGTCAAGGAAAGGGATTCATTTGCCAGAGAAGCTATGCCATTTTCCAAGACAACCTAAGACACATCTGGCCCACAGTGGATCCCTTGGCCCCTCCAGGTGACACTAGGGCACCCCCATCTCGTGCCAGCCCACAGTTCACCCTGAGATGTCTGCACGGCAGCGGCAAAGCAGTACACCACAGGGACAGTGGCAGAAGCCTCAGTGAGGGTGCTGCGCCCAGGGCTGGGGCCAGAAGACCAGTCTCCATGGAGACCACAGATGACAGGGTGGGAAGCTACATCCAGGATCTTAACGGGGCTCCCACCACTGCCACTTTCCCTATACCACTCTGCCCTGCACCACTTCACTCTATGCTTAGCCGGCATGGCTGGGGGCTCCCGCTACTAGGCGGGCACCCCAAGATAAACTGCAGGTAGGCACAGGACAGGGGTGCCCCAGCGCCACCCACATCCTCCAGCCCCAGCCCAGTCCTGACTGCTGCAAGTGGCAGGGCATAGAGTCGCCTTTGAGTCCACCCCCCCACCCTCCTGTCTGTGGGCTGCACACTATGGGCCAGGGGGAGAGGATGGGTGAGGGGAAGGAGACTAAGATCCTCCCAACACTCCCCCGCAGGGCTTGCAGCCCTCCTCTCCCTCTTGCAGGTGCTGCAGCCCCCCAGCAAGACCCAGTGGTGGCTTCCAACTCTGCTCCACCCCGTGTTGTTACTACCCCAAGATCCCAACCTCATCCCCAGAAGTAACTCCAGCTGTGCAGGCAAGGTGCACAGGGAGCTGCATCCATTCTTGGGGCTGGGATCATGGGGCAGTGACCACGTGGGGCTGGGGTGGGGCACAGCTGTGATCCATTCCCTGTTGCAGGGATATGCAGACACTGGAACATGGCTCTGACCTGACCACAACCCTGCCCTGTGATCCCAGCCTCACCCTACCCTCCAGCTCCTGAACACCACTGCCTGGGGCCCCCATTCCACATAAGGAGTTTTGGTGAGTTGTAGCGGGGAAGATGGGGGCGTGCAGAGGGTGCTGACCCGGACTGCAACAGCTCACCAAAACAGACTGTGTGGCCCTCTGGCCCAAATAATTGCTCACCCCAACCTAACCTAACAAAAAGCACTCTGTCAGTAGAGCTCCATCCACACCATGGGTTTTACAAGAACTGCCATGTCAGGTAAAGGACTATGATTTTTTCACACCTCTGATAAAATTGGCTTATTAGCTTGATAATCAAATAGAAAGATTATGATCTAGAAATATTTGATTAATAAGATACAGAAATCAGTAGATAGTGATTATGGTTTATACCTGCTTAAGGATAACTGCTTGTTTGCAGAATTTTTGTGCAGTGTTTGCAACTTGCTGTATTTTAGCAGGAATAACAAAACCAAGTGCTGCCAGCTGACGAACTTCTCTTAGGAGAGTCACTAAACGATCAGAATAATGTATTTTTAGTGATCCATCAGAATGATCCAGTTCCATAACAGGACTGCTAGCTTGTATGCTAAATCAAAATGAAATATTGAAAATTATTAACTATAATTTGTCATGCATCCTTTTTTAGTTGTATTCTGAACTGGCATACAATAACCAAATTCCAAAATGCTGCATCCAATTATATGTATTACATTTTTCCCACCCAATTTTTTAGCAAACAGTATTTAAAGTTGTCCAGCTCCCAGAAAGGTAAAGACTAGGGCCAGAAAAAGCACTTGCAACATACTTTCAGATATTGAGTGGGGGTTAGGTGCCATGGGAAGCAGCGGGCAGAGGGAAGCAGGGATGGCAGTGGGGGCTGCAGGAAGCGGCAGCAATGTAGGGAGCAGCAGTGGCCACAGAAAGTGATGTTGGCCCAGGGAGCAGCTGGGGGAGTGGTGGGGTGAATGACAGGCCACAGGAATCAGCAGCAATAAAGGCACTAAGGAGGCACTTTATTGCTCCTTAGCAGTGGGGGAAATGACGGAGACTGCAGGAAGCGGCAGTGGTGTGAGGAGCAGCAGGGGGTCTGATGGGAGCCGCAGGAAGTGGCAGCAGCGCAGAAAGCGGCACTGACAGGGAGCAGTGGCAGCAGTGGTGGTGGCTGGGAAGTGGCGGTAGCAGTAGCGGGCAGGCCTGCGGGAGGAAAAGCAGGGAAGTAGTGGGGGAGTCGTGGCAGTGGGTGGGAGTGCAGAGCCCGTGCCGGTGCCCTGGGGTTCATGGGGACCCAAGGTGGGGCAGCAAGAGCCTGAGCACAGGGTCTGCCTGGCTGCATCGTGTGAGACTTACACACAGCCCATGAGAGCTGCATGCGATGGAGCCAGCAGCCCAGCTCCGTCTATCTCTCTCTCCCGCCCTACCCACCATAACCCCATACCTTCCCAGAGCCCAGACCCCCACCACATATCACACACCCACTCACCCTACCCGCACCCCACCACACCCCAACCATACCCCCACATACACCCCCTGACTACCCACACAATATACAGCAAGACTGTATTTTGAGCTATTATGCAATCACCTCTACATACACTTCGCAAACACATAAATCATTAAAAAATTTTTTAAATTTTTTTTATTAAAATAAGTTACAGTGATGTTTTATTTTTTTGTATATGATATGGATTTTTTTCTGGTTTCAAGATTGCAGCACCCTCCTTCCCAAAAGGAATACTTCTGGGACAAGGGGAGAGAGATCTGGTGGTGAAGGTCAGGGGCAGGGGGGGGGGATGCATGGGACTTCCGGCCCCAGTATGGCAACCGGGGGGCAGGGCAACTGTCAAGGGGCAGGGCTACTCATGAGGATCTCGACAGCTCACCAAGAATAGGTAAGCTGCCCTCCACTCGAAATAACTGCCCGCCCCCCCAATCTATAACAATAAAATGACAATGAATTGATTTATTTCTCAATTAATTTTTTCTTCTATAGCAGAGCACCATTCTCCCTCTCTCTACTAGCTCTTTTTAGATTATACCATTATGCCAATTTTGAAACAACATTACTTTTTTTTTAAATATTGTTATACTTACCACAGTCCCGACCTGGGATCTGACAATGTTGTCTGAATGTCCCTGGACCAATCGTCAAATTGATCTTGTTCATATAATTTAAGCTGTTCTAAAAGATTATCTGCATTTCTTCGAAAAGATCGAAATCCAGACAAGTCAGACAGAAGAGCTTCTGAGATCCTGATAGCATCATTCACCTTAAACAAAACCCCATTAGACAAATATAAGCTAAAGGAGGCATGAATTTCTGAATCTTCTGAATTTTCACTTTTCCTTTTAAAGGCTACTACTAATAATAAAGATTAATAATTACAAAACATAAAACATAAAAGACCCACTGATATAACCTGAGCTTTCCAAGAGGGGATTCTTTTGAGAGAGCATACCAGTCTTCAAAAAACATTTCTGTGCCCCCTCTGAGACCCACATAATGTATGTCAGAGTCCCTGACCTTTGTTTCCTTTGCACCAGAAGTGTCCAACTCACACCAGGCTGGTCCCAGACTGTAGGGCAGGAGTGGGCAAAATACAACCTGTGGGCTGAATCCAGCCTGTAGAGGGTCTTTCTCTCACCTGCAGTAGGTCCCTCAGTCCCAGGTGGTGGCAGCTCCTTCTGGCTGCCACCACTGCTAGCCCCAAGCCAGTGGTACCAGCGGGGACCCGCACCATGCAGCACTGAC